TTGATGAATGAGATTTTAACAAGGTGCATGTGTGTGAGCCCACAATTCTGCTTTTGCACTGTTAAAATGACCAGTGAGGTCTTTATCAGAGTAATAAATGCAACTAATATGTTGCTGTCTGTGTGCTAAAGATTCGCATTTTTATAGTCTACCTTAATACTCGCACGTAAACTCCATGTTTACAGGAAGTTATTGGTCACTGTGATCATTATTCCTGCCCATACAGTCTGTAAAGACATCACAATAACCACAGCTGTCATTTTTGTATAAATTCATTCCAAAGTTTAACTGAAGCTACTATGAATCACCAGCTAAGCATCTGTGTTAGACTATTCAAAAGTCTATCTTCTAAATGTACACTGTTTTTTGAGATTTCTCTTCACTGCAGCCACGGAGGGGGTAACGTTAATCATTACAGTGACCAATAACTGAGTTATAACAGCAATGTCAAAGTGTACACGGGTATGTGAGAATTGTTTTAAGACGCGCTTGATATAATGTTTTTGTGCCCTGCAATGTGCCACCACACAATATAATAGCATGTGATGTTTTATAAAATACTGCTCAACTTTATGTCCATTTATGTGGTCATAGATCCTGTATTCAACTTTTAAAACTTGAACCTACCCTTTGCCAACTTTAACCAACTTAATGCTAAACCCAGAGTTGGAATTTCCTGCTTTAGCTCAAGAAAAGTAAATGAAGAATGATAATAAGGATTTGCTATAAGAATAGAATTACAGTGTTGATATGCAAAAGAAGACCTAAACTAGGTGGACGTACTGGCCTAACTGAATATTTATTATATCTCATTTGCAACTGCATTTCTTTTCTTTTAGAGCTTCCTGGGATCGTCGCCTCACTCACAGATGACTAATCCCTAAAATCCACCGACTCCGGCTACGGCGCGTTACTGCTCTGCCGCGGTTGCCTGTGTTCTGACGATCTATGCTGCCTTGTCGAAAAATACTACCGTAGCGCAAATCTATCGAGTCTATCGAGTCGCTCTGCCCTATCAAAAACCTTACCTTTTCCAATCCCATAAAGCTATAACTTTCACAGTATTATGACATATTCTCTTTTTTGATTATATTATAACATCATTTCAGGGGTAGCGTATTCTGATGACTGATAATAATGCTCCCACTACAGAATCATTTTATATTGCACCACTACTCACTCCATGTGTACGTAATGTCATTGTGTTTAAGCAACTTTAAACAAAATGAAAAATCTGACAGTGGTTGTTAATTAGAGGTAATATTGCTTTGGTATAGACAAAATATTTCCTTTTCCCTTCCACAGATGCTGTGTGATAAAATCCCATAGTGTCAATGCAATGAGTCCTACTCAAAGATAAGCGACCCTCCACTCCAAGGATAAGGATTGTGACCCGTTTCAGTTTGGTTCCACCATTTGTACTGCATGCTTGTGACTGAGTACCTTCACTACAGCTGAGTAAGCGCTTGGACTGCCATACCAACGAGCCTGGCTCTTTGGCCTTGCTGTCAAAGTTGCATGTTTGGTACCCTGTAGACCTGGATTTGAATCTGGGCAGGGTGACTGCTCTCGCCTCTGGCCGCATATGGTGTCAGAAGTGGGACGGCTTGCTGTGAGGTCGTCTGAGCCGGGCCCAGAGTCCGAACCGTATGAGGGACCCCCATGGGTAACATTAATGATGGGATGTGTAGTGTACTTTTCATTTTACTGATTTTATGTTATTTAAAGGTGTTTTGGTCAAGATGTGATACATGCTGCTGTACCTTTTAATGTACAGGAAGTTATTTTGTAATGTCCACAAAATTAAAGCATTTTAGTTTTCTGTATGTGTCTGTTATAAAATAAATGTTTTACTGACTTTTATTATTATGCTAAAAGGGCATTTTGCAAGGTATTTTTAATGCATTAATAATGAATTATTCTCATACTGAATGGTTTCATATAAAATATATTTAAACTGTACAGCACAAAAGGGTATTTCAAGTTAAATTTAAATAAGTATATTTAAATTACAGTGAAAGTACTTAAAGTGGTTCCATTTTAACACAACTAAGTATATTAAACTATAGTGCAATTATCTTAAAGTTGACTAATTAGGCCCTGCGATAGACTGGCAACCTGTCCAGGGTGTACCCCGCCTTTCACCTGATGTCAGCTGGTATTGTCTCCAGACCCCCGCGACCCTGTATGCAGGATAAGCAGTTGACAATGGATGGATGACTGGAGAGTATTTTTAAAATAACACATTGAATATACACTTAGTATAGTACAATTAAAATGTGATAAGTGCATCCAAAAAAAGTGCTTAAGTATATTTCTTTTCACCTGGGACACCCCTAATCTGAGCCCCTATGTCCCCATCACTTTTCAACACAGAGTCAGGCTCTGGCCCCCCACCCTCCATCTTTGCAGTAAACCCCGAACACATTTCAAGCACAGAAAGATTTCTTGCTTTAAGCCCTGACACCACAGACTGCAGATAAAAAACATATACGGAGGCAAACAGCACTGCGTTTCTGTTTCATGGAAACTTCCTGCTTAAAGTAATCCCTATGAGTAATCCCAGATGTACCTGTAATCTGATGACGTCTTTATTTTCTGTACTGTACCTGTTACGGGGCCCAGGGATGGGTACCTCAGTCACAGATATGTAACCTGTATGAAAGCAGGTGAAACAGCAGCAATGAAGAGACGGTGCGTCTCGTTTCCTTCCAGATTGCTTCTCTGGTTGTTTTATTAAACAACTCAAAATCATGTCAACACAACACGTTTCTGTTCTGAGCATTTCAGTTCAATGTCCAGGTCCAATAAAGTTTCATCACATATTAACACTCTCACCGTTTCAATAAAACCTCTTCTCACTCTGGTCACTTACTGTTTCTGTGATAAACACATTTCCATTGACTTTCACATTCAGTAAACATCTTTAGTCATTTAAATACCTTTTCTCCTTACAGGATATAACTGCTCTAAACACTACCATTTACGTCTAATATACGTCTAATCTAACTTGAGCTGAGGCGTACTGCCCCTTTAATGTGTCAACACTGACAATAACCTTCTGTAATAATCACAGTCCACTGAAATGTAACTAGAAAATGCTCATGTTACATGTTCTAACCATATATTTAGCAGAAAACAGACGTATCAATATTCAGGTACCTGTTGTCAGTCATTTTGGCAAGGTATATTAATTATAAACATCTTATCAAACAGACATCTGGAATATCTACAGTGAACAGGAGCCGTCACAACACTTTCCCACCATAAACTTTAAATGTCCGGTATTCGTAGAGCCAACATGGCGTCATCGCGGGAAAACGTTGACAGGACAAACTGACTTCCTTTCTTTACACATGTCAGAAATCATCATACATACTCTAAACGTTTAACAAACAATCACGTTAGTAAAGCCTGATGTTATAAAGTCAGTAGTTCTGGGTTATTTACAGTTTACCGACCTGTATGAAAGCAGGTGAAATGTGCTCACACTACCTCAGGTGTGCCACGTAACGGAATACAGCTACTGTTTTTGGATCCCGATTACGTAAAGCCGTTACATGTAATCCGTTACTCCCCAACCCTGCTTACTGGCCACAACTTTGAGCAGCTGAGCTCAGCCGGGGGCTCGTCAGTATCTCCACGCCCACGTGGCGTCCTCCACCCTGGCAGCTCCTTCAAAGGAGAGAGTCCAGCAAGTGTTGAAAGTGTTCAGACGTGGAGAACAAGTGTGACAGAGTATTAAATGGAAATGTGCTGGTGAACTTGCTGCAGTCTGTGCTGGTAGAAAGATGTGTTCTGTTGTTAATGATGAACTGATGTTGGAGTTGTGCTGAGTCCACCTTGAATCACTGAATTGTTGTTTCATGACATGTTTTTCTTTTGTGTCTGCTGTCTTTATCTCTATTTCATCTTCTATATCTCTCCAGACTCTGTCAGGCTGCTGGACGGGACTAGTCTGTGCTCAGGCAGACTGGAGGTGAAGTCTAACCAGAGGTGGTCCTCAGTGTGTGAAGCTGACTTTGACCAGCAGGATGCAGAGGTGGTCTGTAGGGAGCTGGCTGTGGGGCTCCTTCAGTCCTCCAGGGGGCGCTCTATGGAGAAGTGGAGGCTCCGATGTGGACCAAAGAGTTCCAGTGTGGAGGCCATGAGTCTGCTCTCCTGGACTGTAGAAGCTCAGGCTCAGCTAGAAACACCTGCTCACCTGGAAAAGCTGTTGGACTCACCTGCTCAGGTAGAAGAGGAGCTGCAGCTTTGATTTGCTTCATTTCTCTTCTGATGAAACTCACTTTATTGTTTTACTGATGACTCTCTGGTTTCTGTTCAGAGCCTGTCAGGTTGGTGGGAGGAGCCAGTCGCTGTGCAGGAACACTGGAGCTGAAAAATCAGGGAGACTGGAGACCAATGAGTGACCTTCTCTCTCTCTGGACCCTGGAGACAGCAGCTGTTCTGTAGAGATCTGGACTGTGGCTCTGCTGTTTCTGTAGGACAGAGAGAGGAGTCCTCAGTCAGACCTGTGTGGTGGATCAGGTCTGACTGTGTTCAGTCTGGATCTAATCTGAGGGAGTGTGTACATTATCTTCCTCTTCCTCCATCCTGGATCTCACCTGCTCAGGTAAGCCCATCAGTGACATCATGTATGACATCATGTATGACAGTAATGTCTCCAGTGTGTCCTCTCCTCTGTCTCAGTGTCTCAGTGGTTTCCATTGGACTGAACTGTAAAGTTCTCCAGGACAGTGACGTCCTAAAGTGTAGAGAGGTGGGCTTGTTTCTGGAAGCTTCACCTGACAGGACACACCTGGAGGAACCTGTCTGTCTGTCTGTCTCTGTGTTTGGGGACGTCCCACCAGGTGGATCCAGTCCCTCCTTTTACAGTCTGTCATCGCTCTGCTCCATGTTTGTTACCCGTGTCAGACCTGTGACATCACTTCCTTCTTCAGGGGCCATTTTGTTGAACGGAGGGTGAATGTGACCTTTCATCATCTGTGTGTTTACAGACCTGCTGCTTCAGCCCAACATCTCTGCGTCCTCCTCCGTGGACGGGGTCTCCGAGGCCCAGCAGCAGGGCTTTCAGGTGTCCAGGGGCTCCACCTTCACCATCAGCTGCTCCATCCAGCCACAGTACCCAGGAGGCTCCTTCCAGCTCGCCTTCACCTCCTCCATCACATCACACAACTACATCCTGCCAGCTGTCAATCACTCTGCCCACTTCCTGTTTCCTGCCGCAGAGCCCGCCCACCAAGGAAGCTACAGCTGTGTTTATCACGTCCATGTTTTTTCTCATGACTTCTCCTCTGAGAGCCGTCGGCTGTCTCTCACTGTCTCAGGTAAGCTGAAGCAGAGCAGCTGAAACGTCACCTTCACAGATCTTCTTATTGATTTCACTCTTTATCATGACAGCTACATAAACAGAGTCGAACTTCATTACAAAGGCTGCAGAGATCTACTGATTAGTTTCTGATGACAGACTTGATGTCGCTGCTTATTCAGCTTCCAGACCATGTTCTCCTACTTCTGTCCAACAACAACGATAAACACATGAACCCTCAAATAATCACGATTAACGTTACGTTAACTAGAATAAATTCAGGATTAGAACTGAACATTTTAAATATATTATTATAAATATATATTTTAATGACTCGAGACGCAGGACGCGTACCTGTCAACATCACTGCAGCTTCCAGCACACCTGTAGCTGGTAGCCATGACAACGCTGTTCCACCTTCTCATTGGCTGTAAGGGCAGCAGCTGGATTTGTGTTGCGTTTTAAGCACAATAAATTATATTTGTTTAGTGTAAAACAACTATAAACTGTTTCGGCAGTTGAACTTCTTTGCCCCTCTGCTTGTTTCTTGCCCCCAGATTCTTCGCTCTGCCACCACAAAGCTCTTTACAGGTGGGCACTGCCCACATGAGGTTTCTACGCTGCAAACTAGTGGGCGGGGCCTCGTTAGGGGAATTCCGGCTTACGACTGATCATAGTATTTAGAAGGTGCTAATACACGTGTCATTGCTGTGGATCAAGTAGGCCTACATAATCAGCCCTTCTCGAGGACCCCCTTTCAGCTGGAGGCTTTAGGCAGTTGAACTTCTTCTCTGGTTGCGACGGCTCTGCTTGTTTCTCCAGATTCTGCGTTCAGATATGTGTTGATAGAGATTCCTGACGGACTGAAGTGGTTTTGGGAGATTTCAGGTCTCTACAGTTTGTGTTTAATGGGAGCTGATGGACTCATGATGTGTGTGATGTGATGTCTGTCCATGTGTTTGATCAGATCCAACAGGTCTTCTCATCAAAGTGGTCGTCCTGCCGCTGACTCTGCTGTTGGTGATCGCTGCCCTTTGTTTCTACCGTAAGGTACTGACACACGTCTGTTGTTTAGAGGCCTGAGATGAAGCACTCGCTCTGTGTTTACTGACCTGAAGAAGAGGAGGAGTGATGCACTAACTCACATGTGTGTGCTGTCATGTCTCTCCAGGCCAGCAGGGGGCAGAAGCCGGGCAGGCAGGAGGACATCGAGCTGGATTATTATAACCCGGGTGTTTCTGCAGCTGAAGGAGGGCCGACTGAAGAGGAAGGAGCTCAGGGAGCAGAGTAGGACCTCCAAGGAGCTCATCTCAGCTGCCTCACAACCCACCATCAGCTCAGTCCAGGATTTTACTCTTTTCTAGTGATGGATAAGCCTCTGGTTCTGGTTCTTGGGGGGCCTTCACAGACACAGTTTGACTGCCTGACACATTTACAAGCCATATAGTAACATGATTTGCTTTCAGAGTGATAATGGTTAACTGCTGAGCTCAGATTACAAAAGTAGAACATTTGAAGAAAGATGTTTAATTTGAGATACTGTCTTTATTTCTTTAATAAGTCCTGTATCTCTGCATCTTGTGCCGGACCTCATCTTTGCCTCTAGAAACCTTTGTCTGGGTACGGACAGACATGTCTCAAGTCTCAAAATAACGCTAGTTTCCAGTACAGAGGAAGCTAAGGTCCACTCTTTTGCTGTAAATTAAACCAAAAGCTAAAGCGTCCCTGACGACGCATTTGTGTATCTAGCGCACATGAGGGGAGGTGTGAAAAAAGGTGTGATGCAGAGGGGAAGGTCAAGAGTTTTACTTTTTACGCTTCTATCATTTTTAGTCAACGGTAAGACTTGTCTTGATGACATCAAGATAATCATTTTAATCAGGAAAGAAGGCACTATTTGCCTAAACGTCAGCAGCCACTGTGAAAATGAAAGCAACATCATTTTGAGATTAAAGAACAGAAGGTTTTCTTTAAAAAAGATGGTGACAACCCATGATTGATGTCTTTTCTGCTTCTTGTGTGTGATTTTCATTTGTGTGATGCATTTAAGATGTAGAAGAGAAGAAATGCTCATTTAGTCTTGTTTTTAAACTGAGACCTGCTGTATCTGCTCTGGATGCTTTGGAAATGAGAAGATTACACAATCACAGTTTTGTACATGATGTTTTATATTTTTCTTGTTCATTTGTGACGAGAGCAAAGGGGTGTTGCAACTACTGGCAGGAAGTGTACGGTACCTATAAAGAAGAGGAAGGATGTGAGGTCAGAATGTAAGAACCAATCAGTGTGATGGCTAACTTATAGCAGCCAATGAACGTTTGGAAAAGGGCTGAGGTCCTTCCTGCCCATTATTATTTCAGTTGCTGACCCCAGAGCTCAAGAAGAATTAGGGGAAAATAAAGAAGGGGCGAAAGAGGAGGAAAAGGGGGAACTTTTGGGGGCTTCTGTTTTTACATTTGTTGAAAATAAATCAGTTTCTCTTTGGGTGCACGCCTGAAGAAACTAGAAAGAGTTTTGTCTCTTTTTGTCTTCATTTTCTTCCTCCTCTTCCGGACTGGTAAGTTAGTATTCTTCTACTTTAACATCCACACTGCCGACATTAACACAGCTCATTACAGATCAGCAGCAAACTGCTCCTTTAAGGAACTCCTTCCAGGTGATGTGTTCAGGGCCCTACTCTCTGCAACCTAAAGTGAGAGAGGAGTGAAGTGGCTGACCAGGAAACTTCTGAATCTGGAGTCAGACATTCAGTACAGACGCTCAGGCCAGTACCTAGTACTGAACTAGCTCGTTATCAGAGGTCGCCCTTTTTCCTGAGTGCTATCTGAAGTCATAATGCGCTAAGGGCGCCCGGAGTTGGTGACCCGAGAGAGCGGGTTTCCTTGCAGAAGGCCGCTTGTCGCTACAAAGCCCATTGGTTCCTTCTGAAGACGCCACTCTTTAAAAAGTCCTCACAAATATATAGTTTCATTTTAAAACTAAGTATCGGGGTCCAAACACCCGGCACAATTCAGAAGCAAAGCCGCGCCGACCCAGGCCGATCTGGAAGTCCTTCTGGAACAATGTCGGCCGAGTCCTGTTCTATATTAAATTCAAATAAAAGTGAAGCGTCGGCACAGATCCTCTGAATTTGGTTTCACAACACTCGATGTGCAAATCACATCTGGTGACACGTGAACAAGTGAATCCTGAGATCAGAGAAGAAACGTGTCCCAGAGCCTCCTGCTGCTGGATCTGTAGATCTGGAGGCATCGAGGGCCGCTGACGCTAATTTGGTGCAGTTTGGAATGAAATACAGAAACACAGAGATCAGATTCGTGTAGCGAGCAGACAAAGTCCAACGTTAAAAATCAGAGGCTGTTCTGACTCCAGCTTCATCTGGTTAGACAGACATGAACTTTCTGACTTTCCTTTAGCGCCCCCTTGTGGTCGACATGGCTCATTTTCTGTAGAGAGAAAGATTTCCTCCTCCAGGACCTTGAAAACATTTGTTCCTTCGATGGTTTGGCAGCAGGAGCACATTTAGCTCAGATCTGACTAAAAACCAGCACGATTATACAAATGGGAGCAAAAACACCTTTTTGGAATTCATTTGGTGTATTTCAGAATAATTTAGCTTTGAAGGAATTTCCTTCATTTTTTATTCAGGTTTTATCTTCTTTCATAATCACGTTGAATCATTTAGTAATTAAGGAAGTCGCTTAATTTCTCTTTGCTTTGTACTTCACTTGAAATCTCCTCCTAACTAACCAAATAATGTGAATAGAAATATGAAGAGGTGTGTAGCAGGAGCCTTCAGAGATCAGAAAGATGAAGAAATGAATCTCAGCTGTGCAGGTGTGTGTTTGCTGGGAGAGATGAGATGATGGAGATCAATAAATGTCTCACTGTCATCTGCTGTGTTCAGAGACTTTAATAAACTATGAGACTGAATGAGCTGATTTCTCCTGGTTCAGAAGAAGTTGTTGTGTTTCTTCACTTAGTTGGAAAATGTTTGCTAGAAGAAACTGTAAATATGAGAAAATGTTAAGATGGTTGTCACTCTGTGAGACGACCCAAGCAGGGTTACAATCCAGGGCAACTGAACTTGCTTGAAGATATTTAAAGATCTTTTGGCTCTCATCAAAGAAGCGGCTGGGAAACTCTATCTAACGCTATTTAACCTCTGTGGGGTCGTTATGAAGGTGATGGATAAGGCTGGTTCGTTAGTGCACCTGGCTTTGTGGCGACAGTTGTTCTAGATGTTGGAGAGAAGCCGAATGTCGCAGGCCAAATGAGAGCGTTTGTTATTTTTCTGGAAAGATATGAAAGGACAGTATTAAAGTGAGATCACAAACCTCATCCCCTGTTTGGAGATGGTCTTTCCACACAGGTGTAAACGGCCTCCTTGTCCCCTCTTTTAACCACCATCTGTCCTCCATGTCTAAAATGTGTACAGTGTTGTCCTCAAAAGAGTGCCCTTTATCCTTCAGACGTAGTAAACTGCTGAGTCTTGACCTGAGAAGTTGGCCTTCTCAGTTGAGACGTCTTTCGGGTGGACCAGTGTCTGTCTCAGCGTGTTTTTGGTTTTACAAAACAGGGAAGTGGTGTTTGATGAAAACCCTCCTGAGTTTCTCCGACACTCCACACACGGATGGAATCACAATGTGTTCAGTCATCCCCCCCCCCCCCCTTACCTGGTAACTATGCCAACCCAGAGACTGTTTTCTGGCATTCTAGTGAATTTTGGGGTTAATTTTGTTTCGTATGTTTAGTTTCAAGAAAGGGGAAACAGAAATAAAAACCTTTGTTTAAATGAATCGGATAGCAAAATGCAAAGAACAAACTAATAAATAATATTAGTAATTATTAATATAAATAAAGAAGCATCTTAAGAGATATATCAATTTATGTCTTATAGTATCGTTTAATTCATGGCTACATTTATTTTTGGTGCATTTAATGTTTATTTACTGATTGATCATTTTCCAATTACAATGTCAGTCGTCCACAGCTGTTTATATTATCTGACTGTACTGAGGAAAGTCTCACTTCTGCATTGATATACCTCCCTTCATTTATATTAAAGGACACCTGAAAAGAGATCTTACTGAAAAGTATGCTGATGCTCAGACTTGTACTAGATAGTTCATTTATTTCAGAGCAGGTATTATTGTGCAGATTCTGAACGCTGGTCCTTAAGGCCTCCGTCGTAGCGTTTCAGCAGGACTCTGGAATGTAAAATGTGGCGTTAATTAACAGCCAATAAGTAGAATATTATTTTTTAACAAGCCGTTGACTAAAACAAAAGACAGAAATTGAGAATTTCAAAATCACAAGGGCTGATTCTTTATAACTGCGCCATAGAAAATATCAAATATAGGCTTTATATTGTTTTGTAACTCATAACTGCTAAAGTGAATAAATTCTTTTTATGTCATATTGAGAGATGCAAACTTTTTGATTTAGCTGCAAACAGTAAAGCACGTCGACCTGAACTAAAAGCAGAACTAAAGTGCTGCTTGTCTAAAACTCTGTATGGATTAAATCACACGCAGAAAGTCTGTTTAGCTAAATCAAACTGTCATTTTCATTTGAAGAGAAGGCAGCTGTGATGTGTCCCTCTGGCCAGCAGGTGGCAGGACACAAACTCATAATCGTGCTTAAAGAAGATGATTTTTAAAAAGTCAAAGGTACAAGAAGTCTGCGGGCTCAGCAAAGAGCTTGTTTTAGGTCACAATCACAGCGCTTCATGGCGGAGCGGACGCTGAAGTCTTCGGTTCGCTTCGGCTCCGGATCAGTTTCACACGCTGCTGCCTCCGACCGGCTCCTTCTCCACGGCGACGGCGCAGAGGCTCATGGGTATTGTAGTGCGACGTGGGCCCGGCGGCGACGTGTTTGTGGTCACCATGGCAGCTGGACGCCCCTGTGTTGTTTGGAGTGTTGCGGTGCGTCAGTAAAGACTTCTGCATCCTCCAGACGGAGACTTTTAAAAATGCTGCAGAGTGAAAGAAGAAGAAGATGCCGCGAGGTCACCGGACCGACGCCGCAGTCAGTGGCCGTGGTGAGACCCCGACACCCGGAGAAATACAACACACTGATACCTGCCTTTAAAACGTTTAACTAACTGTAATATTAATCACGTTTATTCCAACGGCTGAAACAAACACGGGATCTAAAGTTAATATTAGTCAGTTAAGCATCATGTCAAATATATGTAGTGTTAGTAATATTAGATATTAGAGTAGAATTATGCAGTAAAATGCAAAGTATAAGTATTTCAGAGCTTTACTTGAGTAAATACTTTTCACCACAGTTTTTTTGTTCCAGCCTGTTCGTGTTCTGCGTTGAATGAAGTTATGTAGTTTTATAGAAGATGTACTATTATTTATTAAAGCTGGGGGGGCGTTTATCTCAGAAGCAGGTTTGTTCTATCAGCGATCAATAAATCTTCTTTCAGTCTGGTGAAATCAGGTGCTGTGCCTCCTGCTGTCCCGCTGCGCACTCTGACCTGTTTCCTGTTCCAGTCAAAGACTCAGGTTTGGTTTCTAAACGTGTGTCTGTGGGTCAAACAGAGAGCCAAGTTCCCGTCCTCGAGGCCTCCGGACCAGCTGATCCTGGAGAGGCAGAAGCAGGACGCCGCCCGAGACAAAGTCCTGGAGTTCGCAAAGTACCAGCAGACCTGGGACATCAAGAACTCGTGGCTAAAGAGCTCAGACGGGCGCCACCTGAGGGGAACCATCCAGAGGGGGGTCCGAGCCGCTCTGGACCAGCAGGAGGTCCACATCCAGGAGAGGAGAGACAGGTCTGTCTGCCAGCTGCTCTCTATTATGCATCTACTCTAGTACTTTATGTTACTTTAAACTCTACTATACTTTACTGCACTACATGCAGAGCAAGACTTCAGTCATCAAACCAGAACCAGAAGACTACATGATCTGAGTCTCCACCTGTCTGTCTCCACCTTTCTGTCCCCACCTGTTTGACTCCACCTGTTGGTCTCCACCTTTGCGTGTCCACCTGTTTGTCCCCACCTGTTTGTCCCCACCTTTATGTCTGCACCTGTTCGTGTCCACCTGTTTGTCCCCACCTTTATCTCTGCACTTGTCTGTCCTCACCTTTATGTCTGCACATGTTTGTCTCCACCTGTTCGTGTCCACCTGTTTGTCCCCACCTTTATGTCTGCACCTGTTTGTCCACCTGTTGTCCCCACCTTTATCTCTGCATTTGTCTGTCCTCACCTTTATGTCTGCACATGTTTGTCTCCACCTGTTCGTGTCCACCTGTTTGTCCCCACCTTTATCTCTGCACTTGTCTGTCCTCACCTTTATGTCTGCCTGTTTGTCTCCACCTGTGCGTGTCCACCTGTTTGTCCCCACCTTTATCTCTGCACTTGTTTGTCTACACCTGTTTGTCTGCGCTTGTCTGTCCCCATCTGTTTGTCTGCACTTGTTTGTCTCCACCTGTTTGTCTGCACTTGTCTGTCCTCACCTTTTGTCTGCACCTGTTTGTCCCCACCTGTTTGTCTCCACTTGTTTGTCCCCACCTGTTTGTCTCCACCTGTCTGTGCCCACCTGTTTGTCTGCACCTGTTTGTCCCCACCTGTTTGTCTCCACTTGTTTGTCCCCACCTGTTTGTCTCCACCTGTCTGTGCCCACCTGTTTGTCTCCACCTGTTTGTCTCCACCTGTGCGTGTCCCCAGGCTGCGTGTGCTGTTGGAGGCGGAGGAGCAGCAGCTGCTGCAGGAGATGGAGGACAGGATGGAGACGTCGGTGGAGAGGCAGGCGAAGATGAGAGAGCGAGCTAAAACCCTGCGAGAGAGAAGAGAGAGAGACCGACAGCAGCTGGTCTCAGAGAAGATGGAGCAACTCTTCAGGTAAACACGCCTGCTCCACTTCCTCCAGATTTTCACATTAAAAGTCGTGCAGCCCGGAGTGATGTGCAGAGTGTTTGCAGGGAGCAGTGCGAGGAGCTGCGGGCCGCCCAGAGCCGCCGCACAGAGCGGCAGGTGTGCTCTGAGCAAGCCGCCCAGGCGAGGAGCCGGCAGGAGCGGCGGCAGCAGCAGCAGCGGGAGGAGCGTCTGTTTGAGGAGCTGTGGGAGGCCGATCGCAGAGCCAAGGAGCAGCGGGAGGAGCAGAGGGCGCAGAGGCAGCAGCTCAGGAACCTGCAGCAGCTGGACTTCATCAGGACTCAGATGGAAGCGGCCGAGCGGCAGAGGCAGAAACACAGAGAGCTGAGAGAGGAGGAGGCTCGGCTCACGGTGCGCACACCTTCACACTTTTACTTTGAAAACCTTAAATTACTGTGAATTTTACTTGATTAAACTGAAAAAGAAAAGTGAGCCACAGAAACCTGTCGTGTCCGGAGGGGTTTCACAGCCTCCCCGTGTCTCTCTGTGTGGAGCAGCTGCAGCAGCAGGAGGTGCGGCGGCTGCAGCTGCAGCGCGAGCAGCGGCAGAAGATCCAGGACCAGGGGGCCCGGCGGCGGCAGCTGGATCAGAGCCTGCGGCTGAAGATGAAGCGTCTGTCCAGAGAGCAGCAGGAGGAGCTGCAGCTGGACATGAGCATCCTGCAGACGCTGCTCAAACAGGAAACGGACGAGAAACAGGAAGCAGCTCAGAGGAAGGTAAACGCGCCTGGACCTTCACTACGACATGTTAACCGCAGCTGAAAGGAGAAAGAAGTACTCAGATACTGCACTCAAGTAAAAGTACTATTAATGCAAAATATACTTTAAGAATAAAAAGTAAAAGTATTCATGATTAATCTACCAACAGTAAATACTGTAATAAATACTGAACTTGTGTCATGATACAATTGTTAAGGTGGAACTAATGTGTTCCACCTTAAATACTGTTTATTGGACACAAAGTTGTTTTACTAATAATCAGTACTCATGCAAACACTGGGGATGTTTTTCAGCACATTTGACCAGAGGTGGAAAGTATCAAAGTACATTTACTCGAGTACTTTTGAGGTACTTGTACTTAAATACTACCAGACAAAAATGTGATGAGCTCATAAAATAAGATGCAAATACTTCACAGAGTACTTCACTCTCGTCCTGAGTAAAATCCCTTCGTGTTCCACCGCTGTGAAATGGAAATACTACAAGTACCAGTGAAGTACCTCCGTGTTCGCTGTAGTTATTGACACTGGCCAGTAGGGGGCCTCAGAGTAATGAACTCAGATCAGCTGTGACATTTAAATAAATAAATAAATAATAAAATAATATGATAATAAAATAAATAATAAATAAATATAAAAATAATATAAAATAAATAAAATATAAAAATAAATAAATAATATATGTGTAAATAATAAACAAATAAATAAATCTATAAAATATATAAAAAACAATAAATAAAAGCAGCTGACACTTTAAATGTTTTGCTATCAGCGATCAGGACAGACATCATATAAATAAACTCAACACGTTTTCTGGACTCGTAGCTTGTAGGACCTCTCCATGGGATGAAAGGGGACTACACTGAGGGGTCCCTGAGACCTGATCAGGGATCAGAACCTCCTCCCTCAGTGTCCCTGTCTTTAAAGGTCAGCCTGACGCTAACTGCTGCCCCGCTCTCTGTTTGTCAGGCCGAGCTGCGGCGGGAGCAGCAGGCGTACCGGCGGCATCTGTCGGACGAGCTGCAGAAGCAGAAGAGGGAGGAGGAGGAGACAGAGCAGCTGATCGAGGAGAAGCTGAAGGAGGTCTGGACCAACAGGGAGAAGCAGAGCCGGGTGCAGCGAGAGGCCCGGGACCGACTGATGAGGGAGGTGATGGAGGCTCGCAGTCTGCAGATCCAACAAAAAAGTACGTTCTGCACATCCGCCGCTGAAAATAGTCCCCGATGCTCTGTGTCCTCCTGTCTGTCTGGTAGGAACTGCAGCGAGCAGCTGTTAGAAATTACTGAGCCTTTTAAACATGAAACTTTAAACCTGTGAGGAGTTTTTAAAGATTTATGTGTTCAGGAGGAACCAATGAGCTGAGAGCCACAGACAGGAAGTCAGACGGCAGAACTTTTGAGTGAAGGTGTCTTTTAGGGCAACGTGTGACGTCAGCGCGCCGTCGTGCTTCTCTTCTGGCCGTTCAGAAATCGTACCAAACAGTCACCAGCTGATAAGAAAGTTCAGTGTTCAAAAATCTAAATCCGTAACTCATCAGCACTCGCAGGTAGCAGCGATCGTCTGAGCTACAGAGAGCTGAGGGGACTTCTCATTGGCTGGAGGTCGAGTCGGCCGAATCCTCCAGATGTTTAACATGCTAGATATCTGGCAGACGTCTGTGTCACAAGTGTGTCGGGGAGCCGTTTTGATGCGTCGTCGAGTAGTTCACACATAACGACTGTCGACCGATCGCAGCCTGACGGCCGGCGAGCGGCTAAAAATCGTGTAGAGTGAACTCGGCTTTAGAGACAGCAAAAGATCTTTGATCTGTTTTGAGCAGCACGTGATGCCTGTGAGATGATACTAGCAAAAAAACTGGAGTGATCCTTTAAAAATGGTTTGTTTGTTTGTTTGTTTGTTTGTTTGTTTGTTTGTTTGTGTGCGCTGCAGTGGATCAGAACATGCAGAAACAGGTGGAGCTGTCCAAAGAGAGAGACGAGCTGAGCAGAGTGATGGAGGAGATGAAGGTGACGGACGAGGAAGAGAAAAGACGGTACGTCAGCGTTCATCTCCTGTTACTGTGAGACTGATCTGGTCTCTGTTGGTCCTGACCTGGTCTCTGTTGGTCCTGACCTGGTCTCTGTTGGTCCTGATCTGGTCTCTGTTGGTCCTGATCTGGTCTCTGTTGGTCCTGATCTGGTCTCTGTTGGTCCTGACCTGCTCTGTGTTTGTCCTGATCTGGTCTCTGTTGGTCCTGATCTGGTCTCTGTTGGTCCTGATCTGGTCTCTGTTTGTCCTGACCTGCTCTGTGTTTGTCCTGACCTGGTCTCTGTTGGTCCTGACCTGGTCTCTGTTGGTCCTGACCTACTCTGTGTTGGTCCTGACCTGGTCTCTGTTGGTCCTGACCTGGTCTCTGTTGGTCCTGACCTGCTCTGTGTTTGTCCTGACCTGGTCTCTGTTGGTCCTGACCTGGTCTCTGTTTGTCCTGACCTGCTCTGTGTTTGTCCTGACCTGGTCTCTGTTGGTCCTGATCTGGTCTCTGTTGGTCCTGACCTGCTCTGTGTTTGTCCTGATCTGGTCTCTGTTGGTCCTGACCTGGTCTCTGTTTGTCCTGACCTGGTCTCTGTTGGACCTGACCTGGTCTCTGTTGGTCCTGACCTGGTCTCTGTTGGTCCTGACCTGCTCTGTGTTTGTCCTGACCTGGTCTGTGTTGGTCCTGACCTGCTCTGTGTTGGTCCTGACCTGGTCTCTGTTGGTCCTGACCTGGTCTCTGTTGGTCCTGACCTGCTCTGTGTTGGTCCTGACCTGGTCTCTGTTGGTCCTGACCTGGTCTCTGTTGGTCCTGACCTGCTCTGTGTTGGTCCTGACCTGGTCTCTGTTGGTCCTGACCTGGTCTCTGTTGGTCCTGACCTGCTCTGTGTTGGTCCTGACCTGGTCTCTGTTGGTCCTGACCTGCTCTGTGTTGGTCCTGACCTGCTCTGTGTTGGTCCTGACCTGGTCTCTGTTGGTCCTGACCTGCTCTGTGTTTGTCCTGACCTGGTCTCTGTTGGTCCTGACCTGGTCTCTGTTGGTCCTGACCTGCTCTGTGTTGGTCCTGACCTGGTCTCTGTTGGTCCTGACCTGGTCTCTGTTGGTCCTGACCTGCTCTGTGTTGGTCCTGACCTGGTCTCTGTTGGTCCTGACCTGGTCTCTGTTGGTCCTGACCTGCTCTGTGTTGGTCCTGACCTGGTCTCTGTTGGTCCTGATCTGGTCTCTGTTGGTCCTGATCTGGTCTCTGTTTGTCCTGACCTGGTCTCTGTTGGTCCTGACCTGGTCTCTGTTGGTCCTGACCTGCTCTGTGTTGGTCCTGACCTGGTCTCTGTTGGTCCTGACCTGGTCTCTGTTGGTCCTGACCTGCTCTGTGTTTGTCCTGATCTGGTCTCTGTTTGTCCTGACCTGGTCTCTGTTGGTCCTGACCTGGTCTCTGTTGGTCCTGACCTGCTCTGTGTTGGTCCTGACCTGGTCTCTGTTGGTCCTGACCTGGTCTCTGTTGGTCCTGACCTGCTCTGTGTTGGTCCTGACCTGGTCTCTGTTGGTCCTGACCTGGTCTCTGTTGGTCCTGACCTGGTCTCTGTTGGTCCTGACCTGGTCTCTGTTGGTCCTGACCTGCTCTGTGTTGGTCCTGACCTGGTCTCTGTTGGTCCTGACCTGGTCTCTGTTGGTCCTGACCTGCTCTGTGTTGGTCCTGACCTGGTCTCTGTTGGTCCTGACCTGGTCTCTGTTGGTCCTGACCTGCTCTGTGTTGGTCCTGACCTGGTCTCTGTTGGTCCTGATCTGGTCTCTGTTGGTCCTGATCTGGTCTCTGTTTGTCCTGACCTGGTCTCTGTTGGTCCTGACCTGGTCTCTGTTGGTCCTGACCTGCTCTGTGTTGGTCCTGACCTGGTCTCTGTTGGTCCTGACCTGGTCTCTGTTGGTCCTGACCTGCTCTGTGTTTGTCCTGATCTGGTCTCTGTTTGTCCTGACCTGGTCTCTGTTGGTCCTGACCTGCTCTGTGTTGGTCCTGACCTGGTCTCTGTTGGTCCTGACCTGGTCTCTGTTGGTCCTGACCTGCTCTGTGTTGGTCCTGATCTGGTCTCTGTTTGTCCTGATCTGGTCTCTGTTGGTCCTGACCTGCTCTGTGTTTGTCCTGACCTGGTCTCTGTTGGTCCTGATCTGGTCTCTGTTTGTCCTGATCTGGTCTTTGTTGGTCCTGACCTGGTCTCTGTTGGTCCTGACCTGGTCTCTGTTGGTCCTGACCTGGTCTCTGTTGGTCCTGATCTGGTCTCTGTTGGTCCCCGCAGTCAGAAGCAGACCCGCGAGGCGTATCAGGCCGACCTGAAGGCTCAGATGAAGCACCAGCAGCAGCTTCGGAGTGAGCAGAGGGATCAGGCGGAGAGGGAGCACCAGCAGGGTCTGATCCTGCAGGAGCAGTACAAACAGAGGGCCGAGGAGATCCTGTCCAGACCCGCATCTCACACCACCGCCTCACATCCTTTCAGACGAGCAGAGGGATCCAGGTCCGCCTCCTGAACAGAAGGGGGACACGTGATACGCAGAGAAACCCTGTAAGAGCTTCCTGTCCAATATATTTAGTTACAACACTGCAGGAGAGTTTTCATTATTTCCTAGTTTTCTTTTTTAGTTTTACTGAATAATCTCAGGGAGTCCAGGACCTGCCCCCCTTTCACAGTGTGACGTCCTCAGTAAACCGGGTCCTCAGTAAAGACTAACATCGACACGCTCATTATCTTAGGTTAGCGTGTTAGCATGCAGTAAACAGCTGATGGGTATAGCATCAGTTCTGGTCAGTGCCTGATGAGGGCGCTAGAGGAGAACTTACACTTCATCCTGAGGGGGACTTGAAGGTCTGAACCTACAGCAAGCTGTTTTAACATTTATCGCTATTTAAGAGCTACTAGCAATTATTCATTAGGACTAGTACTTAACCTCGAGCTACTAGTGTCCATATATTTTATTTTTGCCATTTATATCTATCTGCAGTTCAGATATCTCCTGTTCCAACAGGCACTACAAACATTTCCATTTTACTAGTATCTATTATATACCAGTACCCGTTCATTACTTACTAGTAACTATTCCAAAAGATACTGGAAACATTTTCATTTTTACGAGTAAGACGATTTTACTAGTATCTAAAATAATCACTAGTATCTACATAATAATAATAATCTTTATTTCTAGAGCAAGTTACAAAGTGTAAAGACAATAATACAGAAACAACACAAGGTAAAAGCATGACTAGTAAAACAGAAACAGTTACTAGTGACTAATAAATAAACACTAGTAGCTTTTAAATAGCGAGTAGTAAGTTTTAAGGAGTAAATGTTAAAACAGCTTCTCATACTGAAGCACATTTCATCACAATCCTGAGAGCTGCTGTTACAGTTAACAAGTAATTGTTATTCTTCTAATAATCTGTGTCGGTGACTGCGAGCCTTTAGAGATTTTAGTAGTGAAGACAAAGATACAGCAAACTCTGTGAGCTGCCAGACGAACAGGCTGAAACAGACACAGCGTGAGCTCACGAGATGACACACAGCACTCACACCTGGAGGGCCAGTATCCTGGCGCCCGTTGGGCAATACGCTGTTTGCCGAAGGTGTGTTTTATTGTGAAAGAATCACCCAGCAGGAAGAAACAGCGACTCTTTGAAAACTGATCTATTGTCAGTTTCGGCTCAGAGTAATAAAGTCGTCACAAGATATTCAGTTTGATGTGAAGTGAAATGTTTCAATAATCAGTGATAAAGATTGTTGTTGTTTAATTTAAAGTCGATCACTCTGCTCCAGGAGTACTTCTGCTTGTGATATTGACAGTACATTTTGCTGATAACACACAGTTTTGAATGCAGTACTTTCACCTGTAACGCAGTATTAAAGTACTGCTTCTTTTACTGTTGTTAAAGATCTGAATAATTCTCCCACCGCTGCTTCCAGGAACGTGGTGACACTTTATTTTGTCGGGTTTCTTTTTTCTAGTTTCTACTTTCCTGGAAAGAACTTTGTAATTTTAATAAACTCTTAAGTCTCAAAGTCGAGTGGCGTCATCATTAAACACGGTCTCAGTAGGTTAAATAGACGCGTCGCAGGACTCGCTCAGAGTTCAGCGTCAACGCTCTCAGGGTGTGAAGATGTTACTCTGACTCCAGCTGCTCTGTGAAACCGGCCTCAACGTCTCTGAGAGTCTCTTGGAAAATGTTGTGCAAACACCAAACAGAAACTGTTTCTGCACAACGTCATTACATCACACATGGTGACAGGGTGGACAGAATAACACGAACACCTCAACACAGTCAACGTGAAAAGTAAAGTCAGCACAGAGATGAATCTGTCTAAATCTGTTTAAACAAAACATCCCTACTGGTTCTCCAGCGGGAACGTCGCCATGGACACCAGATATAAAAACCCTGGTATACTACGAGTGCAGAGAGGGTTACCTGGCGGCGCGAGGCTTAATGAACTCGTCTGTCTTGAATTTAATAGATGTTCATTTACATGTCAAAGTCCTGCAGATTTAAAGCTGCAGCTGGTTTTAAAGTTTAAACTTTTTGGCATATTTACTGAAACGGTCTCTGCGTCCTGACAGCAGTACACAGATAATCAGGCTCCTCTGGCTCCTCCTACTGCTCCTGATGCCATTTTCAAGAATCCACTGAAGAAAGCAACCAATCAGAGCCAGGTTCAGTTTCTAACACAGTGTTCGTACTGTGGCTCGGCAGCGTCTGAGAAACAACCAGCAGCAGGCAAAAGACAAAGAGGCGTTCAGTTTTTACCGACTGCTGCTTTAACTGTTTCAACATATTGTCAAATCTACAAACACAGAAAGACTAAGAATCAATTAAAAAGTAACTGAAATAAATGTTCAAGGTTCAATCCCCCACTGTGACCATCCACCACTGTGTCCCTGAGCAAGACACTTAACCCCTCGTTGTCCAGAGGCGCGACCTCTGACATGTAGAGCAGCTGTAAGTCGCTTTGGATAAAAGCGTCAGCTAAATGAATAAATGTAAATTAAAGTAAACTGAAATTAAAAGCAACACAACAGTCACATGAAGGCCTGACGGACTCTCTCTTTGTCTAGAATCCCAGCTGACCCTAACCTCTGAAAAAGTTTCTGCTCAGCGTGATCACGTACGTTAGCATCCTGCTGTTAGCATCCTGCTGTTAGCACGGCTGCAGGAAACACCTGACCCGTGTGCAGAGTGAGAAACTTCTCATAAAACCATTTGCCTTCACGCTTGTGGCAGGAGGATAAAGCCTGTTCTGGGTGGACCGGCGTCTCAGAGCCGCAAGCAGGTAAACACCTCATACCTGCAGAAGGAGTGGTTTGGGAGTGGACTCATTACCTGATGTAAGAATAACAGTTTATGCTCAGACAGGTCTGAGATATGCTGCTTTCCACAGTCAGCTGAGCTGAAGCAGCACAGTATGTTCGGGACCTTCTGACTGCACCGGAGGACCTGCCGAGGGACGCGATGGCGAGACAGTACCACCTGTACGCTAAGGTAAAGCTGCTTTTTATCTGTCTTCACTGCATCAGAGGCTGCTGATCTCTGGTTAATGTTCACACACACACACTATCAGCGAGTTCCTGCCAGAGCTGCACAGCGATAAGACCGCTCTCCTTGGAGGCCTGAAGGAGGGTCAGCACATTTTCAAGGAGTCAGAATCCGTCACCTACAAGTTAAAGTGCAGCAGGAACACGTGACAATCTGCTAAGGGTAAAAGTCCTGCGTTCAAAATGTTACTCAAGCTAAAAAAGTATTATCAGCAAAATGTACTTCAGGCTGAGAGTTATGGATTCATGTGAACGCAGTGTTTAAATGTTTCTCTCCTCTTCTAACCAGCCTCCCAGCTCAGAGAGTGATCAGTTTGTATCTGTTGAGTAAAAGGGAAAACGTATAAAGTGGCCTCAGCTACGCGACGGTCCCGTCCAGATTACCCAGATACCTTTGCGGCCTCCTTAACTTCTGTCAACACGGAGCAGCTCTTAAAGTCTCCAGGGCTGTTTAAAGTTGGAAGGTTCTGCCTTTTGATTTTGCGCATCCTCGTCGTGGAACTCCTGACAGAAGACCCTCCAGTTAGAGGAGCTGGGGCCCCTCGGGAGGTCGGGGCCCTTCAGGAGGCGTGTAGGTGTTTCCCAGGCTGTTCTGACCAGGTCTCCCAGATCACATCTCAGTGGGCCTCCTCCCGGTTAAATAAAATGGGAAACGAGTAAAAGTACTTTTAGTTAGAGGTATAATGTGCTGAAACCTCCTTCGATGACACGCCCACTTTATTGTGTTTGTGAATCTTTATTCACTTTTATTTCCTCATGTTAAAGTAGTGAAACACTTTTACTCAAGTACTAAAGTACAGTTCAGGTCTTTGAACTTATTTCCTGCTTTATAATTCTACTTTACTACATGTCAGGGGGATATACAGTGATATAGTACTTTTTACTGCACTGCATTATTCTCTGCACTACAGACATAATAATAATACAATATATGAAAATATGACATGACAATCTGCTGAGAGTACTTAGGTACATTTATAGGTGTGCTCAGTCTTTTCTTTCTCTGCAGTGATCAGATTAACCAATCAGAGGCCAGGAGGAGGCTGCCCGAAAACACTGGATCCTACATTTCCCACAATGCAACCAGTTAGAGCTGAAATGACAAGTTGATTAATTGAATCTATTTTGTTTAAGCAGAAAGATACGTTTAACATCGTCTCCTCGAGTTCTTCCTCACATCATATCGACCCAACGATTGACTGATTAACGAAGAAACTGACCTAAAAGCGTTCCAGGCGCACGATGCCAAACATGGCTGACACAAATAAATTCCTGCTAACTTTGCTCCTGTGCAGCTGCATCGATACGTTTATTTCCTGATGTTTTCCCGAATAACTTCAGAGAAGGTGACTTTCAGAGATTGTTTCCTGGAACCTTGATGACATCTTAATTAACTGCAGGTGGATGTACTTCATGTTGCCTTTTATTTGATTGTTTTACATTATGGGCTGCTGTTGTGACGTCAGACAGCTGCATGAAGTCGGGGGAGAAGGATTTACTGACTTTGATGTTGCGTTCAGGTGTACTTTTTCTACTTGCATGTTGGAGATTTGTGCGCTCCGAGTTGTCTGGACGCAGCACTCCTGTACAAAAACCAAACTTTACAACTTTGTTCACTGGTTCTGGTGAACGTGCTGAAGTGGGGGAAGGAATTTTAGGAATTTACTGTTTATCAGATGAGACAAAACTTTAATCGGTGATTTTGGTGAAACTGGATCAGATTGTTGGTCAAATCAAACAAATATGCCTGATTAACAGTGTGTAAATGGATGGTGAGTGAGCGCTGTGAAAACACCACAGTGTAATTGTTCATTCTAAAAACAGCAGAAAAACACGTTTAAAACATGCCGTGGATATTTCAACATGATGCAGCAGCTCCATCAATATATGACATAAGATGTAGTAACATGGGGTAACCCCCCCCGGGGTAACCCCCCCACAGTAACTCTAACAGAAAACACAAAATGACACAATTTTCTTTCTCAACATTTCTTCTGGCTCGTCTCAAAAAGGTCCTCAGATTTTTTTCTCATTTAATTTTTTCTCATTTCTGCATTTTTTTGTAATTGTGTTCAATTTACAGGCGATATATATTTACATTAAGGGAGCCAGAGGAAAATGCCTTTTTCCTGTAAGATACATTTGATTAAATACAAATGAATGTGTCGCCTGTAGGTAGTTATTTTGCGGAGCATGGCCTCCTGCAAGAAACAAAACAAACTATAAAATATTATTTTATGTGTCAGCAAATAGACATTGAGCTGGGGGGGGGTTGATTTATTTGTATTGACTGTATTGATGAACACGTGAGCGTAAATCCTCTCGTGACCCTCTCCGGGGTCCCGAGCCTCATGTTGAGAACCTGTGATCCTGCTGCAGTGCTCCGCTGATCCAGTTGGTGTGTAAGTGTGTAAGTGTGTGAGTGTGTGAGTGTGGATCCCTCTCCGCTGACAGGAAGTGATCTTTATTACTTCTGTTCTTTCTGGATTTACTGCTCATTTCTCGGCTCTGTCCTCGCGCCGGATGTGTGACCGCAGGTCCTGATCAGCGGACTGATTATCGATTACTGAAGCTGAAGCTGCGCCAAACAGCCTGACCGAAACTCCTCCGGGATCGGCTGCCTGCACCGGGAGCACCTGCCCGTACTGCACCGGGAACACCTGTACCTGGCCGGGGACATGCGGACTGGAAGGTGTCCGGTGTCTCACCTGGTTTAGAGGAACAAACTTCCGGATGAACGGATTATGATGGATCCTTAACGGGAGCGACAACACGGCCGACGTAGTGTGTTCGTTCAGGGAGGAATACTCGCGGGAGCATGTCTGTGAACGAGCTGTACACAAAGGTGAGCCATTTTACCTGAAACCCACAGCGACGTCACTCCGAGGAACAGAGTCCGTGTGTTTCCCGCCGGAGTCTCAGATTCCAGCTTGGACTCGGTCTAACATGGACCCGTGCTCTCCCAGGTTAAACTTTCACAGCCTTCAGACCTCCCTGTCTTTTTCGACACGAACCAGACTTCATGTTATTTCTGTGAGACTTTGAGTGCTGAGTCGCCTGTTCGTTCCAGCCAGGTTAGCGTGCGGCTGCAGGTGATCCTGAGCAAAAGTTTAAATCATGTGCAAACTGTAGCTGTGTGCTGGTTTATATGTGAGCCGACTGTTCCAGCTGGGTGGACAGATCTTAAGTCAAGTCATGTTCTTAGACTCTGTTTGTTGTAAACGACGCTCGGCTTTAAATGTACGTATTTGTAAATGAGTTCAACTGAGCAGACAGGTGCAGAACCTTCTTCTTCTTCTCATGTTACAGTTAAAGCAGACAGGTGTGTGACCTCTGTCTTATAAACAGTGTCTAAATAAAACAACAAACCTGATTTCAAACCTTTATTGACACACATTCAAAAGGTCACTGTGATGTCATCACACTACAAGCTGGAGTTTTGAAAGACTTGGCTGTTTACCTGACAGGGAGGATC